GTTGTTCTGCTTTTGCTGTTCTTAGGACTTATACACTAGTCAGTTGTTACCAGACTGAGGCTAGTGCCTCCAACATTCTAGGATCTAGTTATCACCACTTTCTGCTTTTCTAGGACATGTATGCTAGTTAGTTGCTTTTGCTTTCCTAGGACATGTATGTTCGTTAGTTGCTTCTGCTTTCACTTAGGCTGTTAGCTGTGACATTGCTGTTTTGTGACATTTTATATCCTAGGTTGCATCGCATGGACTCAGCATGGAGCTTGCTCCGCATCCTAGACTACTCAGGTTTTCTTTTCTTTGGTAGAGTTCCGCTTCTTGGTGGAAGCATGTTTGTATCTAGGCGATCCATCACAGGCTGAGGATCATGTAGCGGACCTCGGGTTGGCCTGTGAGACCAGCCCCTTGGCCTGTTCTCACAGGCCTGTGTTGTATTCGGGGTAGGCCAGTCCAGGCCGATACCTCTGTAGGTACCAGCTAGTCTAGTCCAGTCCCGTCAGTCCGCTGGGGTATACCCCAGCCATTGTCTGTTTTCAGCCTCATTCTTCACTTGCACATTTCTGGAGTACGTGCGTTGGAGTCCTGCGTGGGAGCTGCGCTGTGCGTCATCTTGCTCCCCCTTCTTCCTCCATCTCCATCTCTACCACTAGCGGAGCACCATACCTGGTGGGTCCGCTACAAACTGGATGCCTTAGTGGAAGTAGGAGGAGGAAGCAAGTATATCCCAAGTTGGGGCCGATTAGGACAGCTTGTGATCAGGGCAGTCCTTTTCGGTGGAGGCAACGGAGGGACAGGGGGAGATGTAGGGGAGGGGGGGAAATGATCTATAGCAACGTCTGGACTTCTGGTTCTTCTCTTTAGTGTAAACAAATTACTTTTGGTGAGGGGGTGGGTTGGGGGAGAGCTCTACTCTGCAGGGGCTTCACAAGGAGGGAGGTGATTGCCCTGAAGGGAGACGGGGCAGATTTAGGGGGATGCCCTATTCTGGGGCTGGGGGAGATGTATGGGTCGGCATCATATCCCAGCGGAGGCAGATAAGGGCAAGGGGTTGGTAGAGGCATACTTTTGGTGATAACTGGATGTTTTTGCTTGAATTTGGTTGGGATTTTTTCTGATTCTTCCTGGAATATTCAAAACAAGCACCCTTGTTATTCCTGGTAGTTTGAAGAATCTCTCAGGACTCTGAGGGGCTGTTGGTGGTTTGTACGAAGCTGCACTGGAATTAGACTGTTATATTCAGGATTCGTGGATGTTCCATGCCAAAACGACGCTGGTCGGAGCCGGGTGATGCCCTGTAACTTGCTGAAGGTGAGGGCATGAGGCCTTGTAGAGAGATTTGGGGATGCTATGCGGGGGCGTCCTAAGGGACAGCTGGGGGTTGCTGACACAGGACGACACTGGTCGGAGTTGGAGTGAGTCGCGTTGCTCTGTAACCTAGCGGATAGGGGTGTGAGGCCTGGATGAGTTTGTCAGGGAATGAGTCAGTTTTGGTGAGCTTTGTTATGATCTGCCGGAATTCCCTTAGATACTTGAGTGTTCGAAGAATTATGGGTAGATTTCAGGAGGTGTTTAACGATCGTAAAAAAGGATTCGTACTTTTTCTCATCATCTATATTCGTAGTTTTCTCATCATCTATCCCAATCTTCAGCAGTTGTTTATGATCTTGGAGGATACTCTCAAGCCGAAACCGGGTAATGGCCTCGATACTTCAATTTGTTCATAATTTTTTTCTACATGTCTTCATATGGGACGCTGGGCCCGATTCCCAGCACGTGCTGCTCCCCACGAATAGATTGGAGCATGTCTTCCAAAAAAAAAAAAAAAAAAATCTCGTCAGAAATAGACTGGGTTAGCCGGCTCCAAGTTTGTCTGTCTGCAGGAACTTAATATATTTATCTGTTTTTTAAACAGCAACTCTTTCGGACAATAAAACACTTCAAGAGCTTTGGTCCTCTGAAGGCGAAATCTCTCACCATACTGGGTATGCTGCACAGAATCCTATGCAACACGTCAGTACAGAAGGACACGGTTGAGATTATCAAGCTATTCTACTCGGAAGCCTTAAGTCTGGCTATCCAACTAGTACGCTAGTCGAAGCCGTACTTGCGATCAGAAGGACCAAGATGAAGACATCCACGGCCAGAGTGATCTTACGCTGGTTATAGGCACAATGGCAAATGGAACACTGACGACAATTTTAAAAATCCAGGCAAAATTTTCTGCACCAATTCTGAAGTCGATGTACCGTAGGAATATCGAGCGTAAGTTGCTTTGAACGAGAGGCACTGCCTAGGATGGTTGATGTCAGAGTCTGCTGGCCTCAAGGTCAAAGCCGAGGCAGTTTAGGAACGTCCTATACCAGTACACGCTACTAGAGATTATGTAATTTTGCAATTTTGCATTTTGGTTAAGTGTTGAACGAATACACATCACTGCAGCTACGTGAGTATGGAAGCACTAACTGGACTAACGGGTGAGACTCTAGACAAAGACGGTTGATGCCAGAGTTTAACTGTTTTTTCTGCTGGCTTTAATGTTAGAAGCCGTGGCATTTTAGAAACGTCCTATACCAGTACGCGCTACTAGAGATTATGTAATTTTGCAATTTTGCATTTTGGTTAAGTGCTGAATGAATACACATCGCTGCAACTAGGTGAGTGTGGAAGCACTAATTGGACTCACGGGTGAGACCCTAAACAAGGACGGTTGATTCCAGAGTTCAACTGTTTTTTCTGTTGGCCTCAATGTCAGAAGCCGAGGCATTTTATGAACGTTCTATACCAGTTCACGCTGCTGGAGATTTTGAAATTTTGCAATTTTGCTTTTTGCGGCTAATGGGAGTTGTCGAGGGAGGAAGGCACTCCTTGCCGTCTATACCAGGCTGGTCGGTAATGGGGCATAGTGGTGCCCTGTAACCCTAGCATAGGGGGTTATGAGACCAGTCGCGTTTAGGTTGAAGGGCTGATCACGGAGACTTTGTTTTTTTCCAATTGTTGCGTGGGAAGTTTGCTAGTCGGTGGTTTCGGTTCGGATTTTTTGCTTTCAATTTGTTGTATGTCACTCATGTCTTATCTCGTTTAAAAAAACAACAACAACAACGGGCGATCTGTTCAGATATGGCTATCCTCTAGAGGTTGTGATTGTTATCGGTGGTTGTGGTAGAACTCTTTTAGGCTCTTGGGATGGCGCCCACCCCCATCGTCCCGAGCTTGTCCACCCCGAGCTTCCCCATGCTTATTGCCCTGTCTTGATTCTTCCTGATCCCATCTCCCTCTCTGGCTCCCAATCTAGTTCTCGACCCCGGTCCCCCCGTCGAAGAGTGTGAGGGAGTCGTTTTCTGGGAAGTAGGAGATAGATGAGTACGCCTGACGCCAACTTTCTTCAACTTAATCACTGAGTATAGGCTCGTCGCATCCCTTAAAATAAAGAATGGCGAGCTTAAAAAATGAGGCTAGGAAGGGAAAAGGGCTGCCATGGACGATTTGGTATCAGGGCGCCATGGGGCACCACTCGTCAGATTGGCGGCCCGAGCGCGAAGAAGGGAGGAAGGAGGGCAGAAGCATTATCCTCCCATCCACCCTCCACATCCCACACAGAAGGTGCACAATCCCCCTCACAATCTTCCCCCTCCCCGGCAGAGCTATTGAAGGAAATGAAAGACCTGCAGGATAGGAGAGAAGTTAATAACAGTCAATCCCCAGGGACTACATGGGCAGACAACCTTAAAAAGATGTACGATGGTTAGACCTTGTCAGTTGGAAGGAATGGAGAGGGGGAAGGAAACCTGGAAATCCCGCTGGACAATCTGACCACAGCATCAACTTTCTTCTTAGCAAAATTCTTAGCTAAGCCAGAAGACAAGATAATCAACCAAGGGGGAAAAAAGCAAAGGGTAAAAGCACTTCCAGGGGATGTGATCAAAGAGAGGGATGCAATATACACTCACCACGCAAGTACTTGGGTTTTCTATGACGACGCGACATACAAATCTACCAATGATAAGGTAGGTTGGATCAGGAAATGACTCGCAACCCTCAAAGGATCTGAGGAGGGGGCGTGAGACTTTTTCCTGATCCAACCTATCTCGTCTACGGTAGTCACGGTAATTTGCATGTTTGATTCAGACAAAAGAATCATGGACACATGGCGGAGCATACCATGTGGACGGTCGGAGGTCCGAATTTTCCCATGGTCTACCCCAAAACAACAAAGACCAGAGGAAAAAAGGGACCAATTAATGTCTGACCATTACTGGGTGGAATTCCGTCACGTGCCCATTGAAATTCAAGGGCCCTTTGTGCAGGAATTAGCCCAAAAATACGAAATTGTTGATTTTCATCGATCCCTTCCCACCCCACGTTACCCGAAGGGATGATTACCTCATGGTAGCCCTCGATCTTCCGAAAGGTCACATCTTCACCATTGACGATGTGGTTCTCTTCTGAATAGGAGGGCGAGATTTCAGAATCCACATGGCACATAAAACGAGACCCTGGTGTTTTAAATGCCAGGCTTACTGCCACCTCCCGACAGAATCAGACTGCCCCCATCACCCGACCAAAAGGATTAGAACCACAGGTTGTCTGATGCGTGACCTTCTTAAGGACACCCGGTGGAGGACGGTCGATGCTGGACACGAGGGATGGGTATATGTGGATGAGCCACAAGAGGGAGGTGGAGTGAGGGGATGGGAATGGGAAAAAGGGGAGGCCGTGGAATGGAACGCCAAGCCCCCAGAACAATGGATTCCCCCCAAACCAGTGGAGGCACATATGGACAAGGCTGGCAACCCCCCCTCCAAGGACCACGAGAAACCAACACATCCACAACAGACCAGCTTTGAAGTAGGGGGGAGTGAGCTTCGTCTTGGACCCAGGCCTCAGGACTTCATCACCCCAGTGGATGTGGAAATGCTATGGCAGTCCCCAAGGAAAAAAGCCCATCCAGGAAAGAACAATAAATTATGGAACCAAAGTAAAAGAGGCAGCCCCAAAAAACCAGAGAACAGATTTCAGGTTACTACGGACACATTAGAAAACGGGGAACAACAGCCAACCGAGCAGGGGACCAGGGAATTGGAGCAAAGCGAGCCAACCGGGGGGTAGGGGAAAAATGAGACTCAAGAACGGGCAAAGGGTAAAGGGGAAACAGATGGGGGGGAGGGAGAAGGGAAGGAAAAAGGAAAGGGAAGAGAGGATAGCCAACAAAGGATTATACACCGGGCCGCAGAGGAGGCAGCAGCAGCAGACCCCCCCCGAGTGGTTCAAAGCTCGCAAGAACACCCCCCTTCCGGAACCACGCCTACCACGCCTGCCATAGGGGAAACACCCTCTACAACAGACCCTTTCGTTCAGGCATTTGAACCCCAGCCCATGGATTGGGAATCACCGGGGATCTGCACGAACGAGGAAATGATGGACAATACACCTGAGGCTTGGGGGTCACAAGAGGAGGAGGATGTCGAGACTAAGTTAAAGGGATTGGCAGAATGACTAATTAGCCATCTTCAGTCACTATATACAGGCCAATCGGAGGCATACTGGGACGAGGCTTACGTACAACTGTTCTCCTT